TTGGCAATCACTGAGGAGCCCCTCCCAGGGCCTCCCTTGGAAGGCCTTTGGATCCCACACCTTCATGGCAAGCGCGTATGTTGGCGGTGTAGCTGCAGCCTTTTGCCGATGCAGCCAAAGGTGGCACCGTGTCAAGCGAGCCAGTGGCGCTCACTCAGATGCTGATGCTGTTCAGGGATTTGTCGCTTGGATGGAAGCATCGGGCATCGTGACCTCCAAGAAGCTGCAGATCGTCCCGGATGAGGAGGAAGGACGCTGCGTGAAGAGCATCGCAGCAATCGAGAAAGGCGAGGTGCTCGTACAGCTTCCCCAGGCATCAGCTGCGTCCGTACAGATGTCGGATACTGCGGGCCCTGGAGAAGGCTTAGAACCCTTGGCTGGCTGGTGGCTGGGTTGCAGTTAAGGAATGAATTTAAGTTACTATATTGGGGAATCCCTATGAACTACTATATATATATACACACCCATTATGGTAACTTTATTTCAGTTCCTTAACAGCAACCTAGGTGGTCAAGGCATACCCGGAGTTCCATCCGGCTAGCTGCAGCCTTGGTTCTTCAAAGGGAGAAGTTCCAGCCCTACATAGATATGCTCTACCCCATGGAGAGCATCTATGCCCCGTGGTTGTGGGAGGATCAGGATTTACAATTTCTTCCAGAGAAGCTGGCTGCGAGCGCTGCAGCTCGCAGGAAAGCCTTGGAGAGCGCATGCAACTAGAAAGCCCTGTGGTACTCTTGTTTAGGGTTTAGGGTTTCTGAGTGGAACGACACCACCAAAAAAGGTACTTTTCTTGCAACATCGCTGAGGTTCCCTTCCTAAATTTAATCTGCAGAAAACGTACCTTAATGAAACCATATCCACAGACAGAACCTTGGTGCACACTCTAAACTTGGATGAGGCCCTCACTCAGCAGTAGTGTTGCAAGGGGAACATATAGGGACGCTACCATAATTACCACTGTACCTTGAGGTCAGCATCAGTGTCAGTGGGTGGCGGTTGGGGCCTAACCCTAAACCCTAAGCCCTAAACCCTAAAACTTCAGCCCTAAGCCCTAAACCTTGAACCCTAAGCCTCAAACCCTCAGCCCTAGACCCTAAATAGTTGTTTCCATTTTATTTTCCGTTGTCCCATTGTAACCCCTATGTAACCCCATTCTACTATACCATGATATACCATAATAAACTCTAATATACTACAATATACTATAATCTAACCCCCTATATGATATGAATACCAAGGCAAAGACCTCGAGGCAGAGGGCCTTGCTGAGGCGGTGCCCCGAGAGCTTTTCCTCCGTGCTCACCATGCTGCCGCTTCAAGGGCCTTTGCTGGTGAGGCGCTGTCACCGCATGGAAGTCACCTTGGGGGTCGTCCATAAACCCCCTAAATCCCTAAATCCGTAAATCCCTAAATCCCTAAACCCTAAAACCCTAAAACCCGCAAACCCTAAACCCTAAAACAAAAAATCCTAAACCCTAAAGCCCTAACTCTAAACCCTTTTGACAGGGAAGGTAGCATGTTGGGACCTAGATTGGGGCCCTAAACCCTAAACCTTAAAGCCCTAAGCCCAAAATCCTAAACAGTCTTGGAAACCCCATTTTCTGAGATCAGTGCCTTGCTTTGGGCCGGAGCCACCAGGGCGGTTGATCCCTGAATTCTAAACCATCCCCCCCAAAAAACAAGCTCAAAGGCCTTAGCATACGATTCATATTACTATTTCTACTACTAGCATTATTGCTTTGTTATTATTACTATTGTTTTTATGATTATTACGCATTATTGCTTTGTTATTATTACTATTGTTATTATGATTATTCCTGTGCTGATTATTATTGCTATTTACTATTCCTATTTTGCTGATTGCTATTATTATAGCGCCCCAGGGCAGCCTATCTAGCACAAGCGCCACTGCTTTGGCTGGTGGCGCCTTGTCCTTTACCGTGCGGAGCTCAGTCCCGGGGATCGCTAAAAAGGGGTTTAGGGTTTAGGGTTTTTTGCTGTTAGACCTTTAATCCCTATATCCTCACGCAGCAAAAAAATGTATTTTTACAGGGCCCCCCAAGCCGACCCATCGTAAAGACGGCTGTTGCAACATGGGGCATACACTTTTAAAGGCTGTAAGGTGTTAAGATTTTAGGTTTTGGTTTAGGCTTTTAGGGTCTGGGGTTTTTAGTTTTAGAGTTTGAGGGTCTGGGGTTCTAGGGTTTTAGGTTGTGAAGTTTAGGGTTTTAGGTCTTCGAGTTTTAGGGTTTGGGGTTTGAGGGTTTAGGGTTTAAGGGTTTAGGGATTAGGTTTAAGCATCCGCCCATCATTCTGAAGGGAGACGGCCATAATCTCCCTGGAGCCGCTATATATTTCTAGGATACTCCCCTTGTTATCAATACCCCAAACCCTAGTCCCTAATGTAGCCACCGACCAGGTTTCAGAGAATCCAAAATGACATGAACCCCTATGAAGCCCAAAGGGAATGAACAGCCCTAAGCCCTAAACAATAGAGATAATAGCAAAAAATGATGACCATGATAATATAATAGCAGTGGCAAGAACAATAGTGAAAAAATAATGAACACATTTAGGGCTACAATAATTGCCATAATATGAACAATACTCATAATGACAACAGCCATAGCAGCCACAACCAGCATTGTAGTCACAATAACACTCATTATAGGTAAGATAGCTACAATAATAATGAGAATACGAAAACCAAAATACCAGTTATCTTCATAAAACTTACGGTGTTCATAGGAGTGGCGGTAATCATACTAATTATAGCAACACTCGCAATGATAAGAATCAGAGCCATTGGAGCCATAGTCATAACAGCAGCCACCATAAGAACAACAATTGGAAACCTTAGAAATGAATGAAGCATAGTGGTTATATCAATAACCTTAATAATACGAATGAGAACCCTAAACCCTAAACCCTTAACTAGTGATAAAAGCCATGTTCCTTTTAGCTAGGCAGCTGGAGCTGCCGCGGCGGCTGGGCTGACCAGTACCCAGCCTCAGGTGAAAGGAAGACCCACACATGGCGGTTTAGGGTTTAGGGTTGTTTAGGGTTTAGAGTTTAGGGTTGAGGGTTGAGGTTTGTTTAGTGTTGGGCGGTTCAGGGTGATTTGGAGTTGAGGGTTTAGGTTTGTTTTGGGGTTGAGGGTTTAGGTTTGATGGAGGAAGTCTTGCACCATCCTCAGCGCTTTCAAGCCTGGGAATTACAGTAGGTCAGGGGGGCCGGGTGGTGCAAGAAATCCTACACGCACTGTAGGATTCCTCAATTTGAATGATTCTTATGGATTCTGGGGCAGAGGGTGTTGCAGGATGTCTTTAAACAAGCGAAAGCTGTTGCTGGTTGCATGAATCATCGCTTCCCTATTCTTCGATCCCCACTCAGCCCTACATGAACTATAGTCTTAACTCCTTAAAGGGGGTCTCACGGCCATATGGGGGGGTATTATAGGGGGTATTCAGGGGGATACTAGAGCTTTAGACTGCAGATAATATTCAAGATTCCCCAGAGTGGCTCCCATGTACTTGGGGCATTTTTGATATGGTACTTTCCCAAAGTAGGGGGACCTGATATGGACCCCAATATACTACAGTCCTTATTATGGGAACTCCTAAAAAAACACCCCCCACCCAACTTCGGGAAATTCCCATGTGAGTGTTCAGTTTTAGGGTGAAGCGAATGCGTTCCAGGCTTTGATGTGGCGGCTGGTGTCGGAGCTTTAGCGCTTGCAGCTTCCGGGGCAGTCGTAGTTGGAGCCTTAGCTTGCTAGTCAGTAGGGACTGACGGAATGGAAAAAGAAGTAGCAACTACTGTCGAATATACTTACTAGTTGTTAGTAGGGAATAAGGGAATATAATCCCTATAGAAGCCATATATAATGCATTCTCTTATTCCCTGCTAAGAACCAGTAAGTACAAGTCCATTCCCTGCTAACAACAAGCAACTTAGGCAGGAGCCTCCCGTGTTGACTGGGTAATCCCTGTATAACATGTTTATTCCCTTCTCTAGCCCAATACATACCCAATCATGCTACAGTAGTTTCCATTTCTCTTCCATTATCAATATATAACCCCTACACGAACACTAAACCCTAAACCCTAAACCCTAAATAGTAGTTTCCAATTTTCTTTTCCATTATCCCTCTATCGCCCCTATATTCCCTACACCCTAAACCCTATATTCCCTTATTAAGCAAACCTATACGAGTGGGGGAAGTTCATGAAACGAGCATGCCGAGGCGCTGAGCAATGATGCCCAAGCCTTGCGCTTGGGTCCACCATGTCTGGGGATGAAAGGCTATTTAGGATTTAGGGAGTGGGATTTAGGGTTAGGGTTTAGAGTTTAGGGTTTAGGGTAAAAGGCAACATTCAGTGCCACATAGGTTCCAACTGAAGTTCAGCGGGTGCTGGCTGCAGGTCCTTTCTCTCTTGCCCATGATTGACCAGATCAATCACAAGAGCGGTGTGCTGACCTTATCTTTTATTTCGCAGGAACTCTTTGGGCCCCCACTTCCTGTTGCCCCACTACCACTGAGGCCACATTCATTCTTTGTTTGGATCTAAATGGGTGATATGGGGACCTAAATAATTGCCAACATTATGGTTCCATGTTCCTTATATAACTATAGTATAGGGTACCTCAAATGGACCTCAAAAGGAAATTGGTAATTATTTAGGCCCCTAGATTAGTGGGGTACCAGGTAGTGGGGGTCCTCAGAGTCCCGTAAACCCTAACCCTAAACCCTAAACCCTAAACCCTAGCCATGTGTGGGAACTCCAAGCCCAGCTCCTCCACCGTGACCTTCTGTAGAGTTTCTTCAAACGAGCTATAGTCTAAACTCCTTTTAGGGGGGTTATATAGGGGATTATATAGGGGACTACTATAGGGGTTATTAAGGGGGATACTAGGAGTTTAGACTATAGCTCAAATACTTGTTACGACCCTACTTAAATAAAGACCACCTAATCCACCTGCAATCCATGCATGTCCCTAGGGTCCCTTAGGCTACTCCCAGTTTCAGAAACCTTCATGTCGGAAGCCGGTCTGGGGTGTAGGGTTTGAATGTCACCAGGCTCGGCCGGATCTGCAATTTAGTCCTGCAAAGCGGCGGTGGGAGCTTTTGGCCCTCCGCTCGTGACCCTCTTTGCATGAAGCTACGCCTCTGGGCTGCTGTTAAGCAGCTTATTAGGGTTATATTGGGGTTTTATTGGGATAATGGAAAAGGAAATGGAAACTACTATAGTATAATGGGGTATATATTAGGNNGAAACGGAAACTACTATAGTATATAATGCTGTTAAGTGAGCTTTCGAAAGGACACCCATTTAAGCTATCTGAAGGGCCACGGAGAGCTTCTTGGTTCATGACACAAGAGAACAACGAGGAGAATGACTGGTTACGGGAATAAAGACAAATTAGCCCAATACGTTTAGTGTTTGCAGAGTGTTTCTTTATGGTGGTCACGTGCGTTAAATTTCTTACAGTATTTCTGCTTCAGCAGTGGCCCTCTGTGAATTGAATTGTATGTGGTCTAGGGTTTCAGGTTTTGCGGTTTGAGGGTTTTAAGGGTTGCAGGGTTACGATAGGAGCTGAGGCTGTGCAGAACCTTTGACGATAGCAATGAGCTGAAATTTATGACCGAAAGATTTCCGGTTCAAGGTTGAAACCTTATCTTGCTGAGTATTGGAGGATATGAGGGTG